GAAGAGAACCGGGGTGAGACCCTGTAGAACACGTGATGATTTGCATTGTTGCCTAGCCTTGTTGATGGGTTTCAAATGAGTTCCTACTGGCTAGGTCAGGATCATAAAGACATGGACTTGGAAGATTCCACAGGATCACTGTGGTGGAATTGTGATTGGGAAAGAAAGGACTCAAAGACTCTTTTGTGAAAAGGGAAGGCCCCTGCTCCCAGTGTGTGTTTTTTCTCAAGAAGAGAGTTCCCCCTGCTCTTAGCTTACCCTCTAATGGCATATTTTCCATCATTCATAATGTTGAATTTTCACCTTAAAATATTTTCTGGAGATTTTTGATTACACGGAAGTAGAATGTACATCTACTTACTCTTCTGAGAAAACTGGTAAAGTCTTGCTAGGGTTGGAACCCTCCCCTCCCTGCGTCATTCTATTATAGGAACTGTCTAGTTCCTTTAGTGCCACCCGTTTAAATCCTCTGTGGATATTAGAGATGATCTTGTCAATGGAAGTTTAAGGTGGCTGTAATTTTAAAATGCAGCAAATGAAAGTGAAAGTCCATTCTAATCCTTAATGGTATACAGGTAATCCAAGGGCAGGGCATTTGCCCTCACCGGTCTACTCACCTCTCCTCAGGATTTGGAGTTTGAAAGCACCACATCTCCCTTCTAGTATCTTTCTAATTACGTAGAGGAGGTTTGGAGGGAGGATGGTGGGTGCCACGGGGCTCATGACTAAAACAAAGAGTGGTTCTAATTTTAGTCTTAATGGCACCAATAGAGGCACAGGGGAGGGGAGGGGGTGTTTGGCAGCCACTGCACTGAAAGTCTTCCTGAAATAAAGTCCTGTTGACCCCAGTGCTCTGTTGCCATGTGGCATGAACAAAGATGCAGCTCTTCTTTTGTTTACACAAACACATTAGAAAGCTTGCTTATAGACGTGATAAAACCGGAGCTGCTTGATTCCAAGTGAGGAGGGCCCAAGGCTCCTAGGACAAGGAAGTAGCTAGAGCCTCTCTCCGTCCCTCTCTCTCCCTCTCTTTCTCTTTCTCTCCCCCTCCCCCCCAGTGATGCAGGCTCCAGGGGCTAAGATATCTTGGTTTCAGAGGTACCACTTCAAGGCAGGCTGCTGACTCACTTGCCTTCTGATACGAGCGCTAAGATCCGGAAGACAGCAACAGCTCTAGTCCACTGTCGACAGTGGGTTGTGGAACCCAGGTTCTTTTCCACAATCAGATGTTGGAAGCCCCACGAAAGTCAGTGGGCTGGTACACATGGTCCTCCTACACATGTCCAGGTTCCCCCCCTTCTTTTAGAGTTCCCTGCTTGACTGAATCCAAGTTACTGACCCTGAGACGCTTTCCTTGTCTGTAGAAGAGACATCCATCAACACTGACATTTCCCACTGCACAGTTACCCACAGGCAGCAAAGCAGTGCTGGTCTCTGGTCCTTGTGCTCACCCTGGTCTTCTAGGACCGGGGCCAGAGGACTACAGGAAGGTGTGCCTAGGTGAAAGGTAAACCGTAGCCTTCTCAGGATGCAGAAACTACAAACTCCCACAGAATGTGGTTCTGGGAAATGTCTAGGAGCCAGAAAGGCTGGAGATGCAAGCTACACCAGCTGCAAGAGAAGACTGTGTATGTGACAACTAGAGGCCCTCTATCTTTTCCCTGGAGGTCTCTGGGTGAATATGGTTCCAATTAATGCTGCTATCCACAGCTCTGCCACCCCAGCTGGGGACCCCTCAGTGCCCACAGTTTTGCTATCTTTGAAGCACCCCATCTCCAGCCACAAAGGATATGGCTGCCACAGCATGTGGCCATAGCCTCTTACACAGGCAATGAGCCCTTTAATTGCCCCACCCAGTAGCAATCAGATTCAAGATCAACCAGGTAAGTTAGGTGAGGCGAATTTATTGTGTTAGGATTCTACTGTCTAGGAGGAACCAGTCTTGATGATGATGATGATGATGATGATGATGATTGCAGCTCCCTAACAGGGTATCCAAAGGCTTCTTGCCTTTTGATTTTCCATACACCACCTTGGCTCCCAGAGTTCCCTAAGAACAACTTGCTTAGCTCAGGCAGCTTTTCCTGAGAGAGCAGCAGCTGTCCTGGTACAGGGAAGGAGTTAGCAATAGACACAGCTAGAGATGTGGCCTGCAGCAAGAGGCACTTAGATGCACAGCTTCTCCAGTTTTCCACCAGGTAAAACTAGCTATATTTCAGTTTTTTGTTTTTTTTTTTATCTCCTGGAAAGGGCAGTTCTGATGGTCAGGTGGATGCTGGCTCCAGGAAGGCTCAGTAAGAAAGTGGAGTCCCCCTGAAGGTTAACAGAGGCCACTCAGAGTCCTGCCCCATACTCTGTCCCTCTGCCCACCCAAAGAGGAAAGGTTGCAGCTGTAGGGCTGGTGTGGGCTTGGGTTTCAGGGCGGAAGAAGGAGGGGGAGGCCTGCAAGCCTCAGAGGATTTGACATTAATTACCATCGTGACTGCTTTCTGTGTGTAACCATTTTACCGGCACTTTGAGCCATCTAATGTGGAGTTAAAGGGGGCCTCCACCCCCTCCTCTCCAGATGTCCCAGCCTTTGGAAACTGCGGCCTCCCAGCTCTCTGGTGGCAGGGATGTGTGCAACAATCTGGAGGGCCAAGTGCTCAGAGACTTCCTAGGGCTTGGTCTGACATCACTGTAAGCAGATGATAATTACAAGGTTCCTTCATTCCCCACTCTCCACACCCCAACAAGACACCATGGAGTTATTTATAAATGCAAGCCCCTGGGTGCACTTCTCCCAGGAAGGACCACGCTGACAGCGCACTAGTGGTGTTAATGGAATACAGGAGGCATGCAATTGGAGGGATGCAAGGATGTACAGAAGGGAGGGCGATGGGTCAGCAGCTGCCACAGCCAGGGGCGGAGCTGCCTGCCCTGGGTCTCCAAGATCTGCTGGGATATGGAATGGAAGAGCCTTACACGATTGTCTTTTGTGTCAAGGGTGGGCCCCTGAGATCAACTGCCTTTTCTCTTCCCAGGGCTGGCAGGAACTGGAAATAATTGAAAGTTGTTAGGGTCCAACATGCTGCCTTGAAAACACTATCATTACTCTCCTAATGACTAAGTGTGTCTTCCAGGAGAAGATGTAGGCAGCTGAGGCCCCCGGCTCCTGGAGAGCAGAGTAGGAGGCTGGCAACCTGTAATCTGGAGAAGGGGGGGGTGATTTGGCAGAGCTTGCTTCAGTTCCAGCCTCCGGAGCCTCCATGTAGGGCCTAGGAGGTGATGGCACACTGGTCCTGTAGACACTTCCCATCTTAGTCTAAGTCCTTGCTCAGGTCTGGGTTCTGCTGGGGGGCTGGTCTCAATCACTGTGTTCATCCCCCAGGGAGAGCCTTGTCTCATTGACTCCCAGCATGCTGCCTGAGGTACCCTCCTCCAAACCTCTCTCCTCTTCTCTCTCCCAAGCACAGGGTTAATGTGTGATAATGCTTGTCCACTGCTCACTAGCTTCCCCAGGTGGGAGCCCATAGCCCTGCTCTGAATTCCTTCTTTGTATAGACTCACAGTTTGCTAGAGCTGAACTTAAGCCTCTGGGTAGGGCTTTCCACAGCCCCCTCTTGCCCACACTCAGGCCCTCTCTTTTAAAAGGTTGTCATTGAATATCACAGGTGATATGTAAAGACAAATAAGACCCCAAATGACTATACTGTATGTGTCTCCTGTGGGGTCCAGAACTTTTTCTCTCAGAGTGGATTCCAGAATATCATCCCTGCATGACTCTGGGCATTCCCAAGGGCCACGTGGTTCCTGTGACTCCAGACCTGCAAGGGTCTTCCTGACTCTACAAAAGAGGCCATAATTGTAACATGTGGAGGGTTGAGAGCTATGTATAGACCCTTTTGCATGTATAACAACACTATTGCCAATAAAGTGAACTGCTGGTGAGTTTGAGGTCTCAGAGCTAAAGCAGAGTTTTGTTAGCTAGAATCTCACCCTCAGTTAGCTAGAATATCACCCTCACTGCTTTTCTTCTCACCCACATGTTCATACGACAGTAGCTCTGTTTCCCAGAGATGCTTCCTGTATGTCTGGAGGGGAATCTGAGGACCACTCTCTCCACCTGTGAAAGGCAAAGCATGATCCCTGAGTCCAGAGAGGCCTTCCCTAGATGGTCCAGACTGCTGGAGAAAGGCCTTAGGAAGCCTGAGTGTTTAGGCACTGGTGGAAGGCACGGTCCCAGTGCTGCCAGCTCTTATCAGTGCTGAGATGACAATATGGCTTGGTTTCTTCCCTTCATGTTGTGCAGAAAGGAGTAATTCTAAGTAGATAGAGCACAATCAGATGAAAGATAGCTTAGTCTGATGAAGAACGATAGTTAGTAGAAACAAAACAGAGCAAGCCAACCCCCCGAGAAAGGTGCACAAAAGACAATAATGATACAACAATAATCATAGTAATAATTAATAATAAAGTGACATGTTTTCCAACAGCCATCACTGTCAGTTCCTCTGTCGGTTTTCATTTGTGGATAGGTGTGCAGGCCCAGCACATGGGGAGAACCTGGACGCAAGTTCTGCAGTCTGAGTTGCGTGGGCTAGCAAAGGCTCCCGTAAAGAGGGGTAACCCACGAAGGGCTGCAGGTCAACCGATCAAGCCCGCATGGTTGCTAAGGGCCGTGGGTCCAACTGACCGCCCCAGAATACCAGAGCGCGAGACCGGGTGTCTGCAGTCTTCCGCTAGCCGCGTGTGCCAAACACGCGCGGGCACCTGCAGGCGACCGCACGCGAGAGGCAGGCCGCGCAGCCATCTCACGTCCACGTATCCACTCCCTTCCCACTAGCCTTCTGGAGGCCCCGCCCCAGGCTCCGCCCCTGCTCTGCCCCCGCCCCCACCAGTTGACTGGCCTTCCCAGAGGCCCCGCCCCCTTCCAGCCCCACTGTGGGGCCCCGCCCAACCCTAACCGCCCTTCGACGCTAAACGGCTTCTAGCCGGAGAGCTTCCCGCGCTCGGATTGGCCGTGCTGGTCACCGTCCTGCGGTTCGATAGGATCCCCGCGCCCGCTTTCTCAGGCCCTGCCCTTGGGCGGGGGCGGGGCCAGAGCCGGCGGGCTGCGCGGGAGTGGTTGGCTGCGCGGAGGGGGCGGGTCCTCGCCGCGCGCAGTGCTCGGGCCAGAGCTCGAGGCGCTTACCGACGCCTGAGCCAAGAGACGCCGCGGCCGCCGCTTGGTCGCCTCCGGCTTCGCGTCGCGCCGAGTCTGCCTCCTCTGCCCCACCCGATCGGCAGCATCCGCTCCACCTGGCCCGCGGCCTCGCTGTCCCTGGCGGGGCAGGTGAGTGAGTGGTGGCCGGTTGAAGTGGGGGGGTCCAGCGCGGGGGTTAGCCTGCACGGCGCGTCCCAGGCCAGCCGAGACCCTGCGAAAGGCCGGAGGACTGGGCTGTTCGCGGTCAGAAAACTTCATCCGAGCTTGGGTGTTGGAGGTCCTAGGGGTGGGTTGAGGTTGGCGATCTCAGGACCAGGGCCAGGACCCCAGGTTGAGGCGAGGGGTCCCAGGCTGAGGGCGTAGGTCCCAAGCTGAGGGCGTAGGTTCCAGGCTGAGGGCTTAGGTCCCAGGATAGAGGATGGGGTACCAGGCTGAGGGCGAGGGTCCCAGGCTGAGATGGAAGTTCTAGGCTGAGGGTGGGGAATCTCAGTACTGAGGGCAGCGGCTCCGAGCTGCCCAGGATCTCCGAGCTGAAGGCTGAGGTTCCAGGGCTGAGTGCGGGCATCCCCGGCTGAGTGAGGGATTTCAGGCTTTAGGCAGGGGATCCCAGGCTTGGGGCGAGGGTACCAGGCTAAGCAAGGGGATGAGGCTCCCAGGCTGAGGCTGGGGTATTAGGTTGAGGAGGGAATCCCTTGATGGGAGAGAGTGCGGGGTTGAGGGTTGGGTTTCCAAGTAGAATGGTTCTTGGTGGCCCTTGGGCATGGAGCCGGGCCCAGAGCAAGGTCCTAGACAGAAGTTTTACAGCGAGGGGCTCAGTCTCTGGCCCTGCATTGTCGTGCCTGAGGGTTCAGGCAAGGCCCAGGGTCCTTGTGAAAGTCTGATGGTAATTGGCCCTTGCCCATGTTGGGGAGCCACTCAGGAGAACACAGGCCTCTTCACTCCCTCCCCAAATTCAGAAGTTGTCAGTTGGCACATAACTCGGCAGGCTTTCGGGTCAGCATACAATAGCTGTGATCTCACTGGGACTTGCAAGGCTTGGACGGATGTCTTGTGATTGAGATGAACAGAGGGGGGGAGGAGGGAGAAAAGGAAACTCAGAGGATGCATGTGGGGCGAGGGCAGGGCGCGGCCTCTTCTCTCCCTTCCACAGCAGTCTCCTGTTTCTCTTTTTCTATCTCCTTCGGTTTTCTGCGCCATCCATTAGAGGCAGAACAGGTAGACCAGACAGTAACTGGTTCCTCTTTTTGATCACTGCGTTTTTCTTTTTTGGGAAAGAGGTGCGCTTAGACCTGTTTCTTATTGTTCCCCTAAGAGTTTTGTTTAATGAAAGGGTTTAGTTGCCTAGTTTCTCTCCTCACTCTGCCCTATATTGTTTGTATGGGAAATCTGTGAGTTAATGGAAGTTGGGTCCCAGGATTGGTTATTTTCCTCCATCTACTTTTCTTTACGGCACCATGGACTTTCAAGTCTCATTACCTTTATATGTGAGTCAATAGCACTATAGGTTCAGGAGGGTTTTTAGTGGGTGCTGCACCAAAAGGAATCTGGATGCCAGGGCCTTGGAGTAAGACCTTTTGAGGCCAGACTAGATAGCTAGCATATACACCATAACTCTCAACACATTCCTCTGACACAGCCCTCCTGAAACTTGTGAGGCAAACTTGTACCCCATTTCTGTTCTTTGGACTTAATTGTGATTTGGGTTCCAGAGGAACTGTAGGGTGTGTCTATACTGAGAACTGACCCTCAGTCCCCACAACAAGGACAGTTCATCACCTAACATCTGATGTGCTCATTTTGTTCCAGAGAGGAGTGTGTACAGATTAGTGCTCCGTGGAGATGGCTGGAGCATGAGAGGGAGGAGCTCTGTATGGTGTCTTGAGACGGGAGGTCCTCTTGCAAGCTGGGTCTTCTAGCTAGGAGTTCAGCTGTTGTCTTCCTTTTCAACCATGCTGTTTTCACTGTGTGTATGTGCCATGTTGATACAGCGCACATGCTTTGGAGTTTATATGACTTCATACACATAGTTAGTGCTTAATATTTTAAAATATTGAAAAAAAATGCTTGCAGGCTGGTGGGATGGCTTAGCATGGTCTTGCAAGCTGGGTGATCTAAGTTAGTCCCTGGAATTCATGGTGGAAAGAACAAACTGATCCTTGAAAGTTGTCTTCTGGCCACTGCAGGAGCACTGTGGCATGTATGTGTGCACATGCGTGGGTGCACACACATACACAAAACAGTAAAATAAGTTAGTTAGGAGTAGGTCTTTATAACTGAAAAGATTGGATGCTGTTTCTGGAACTCAGAGCTGGTGTTATCACAGTAATGCTCATTTGTAGGTAGAAGAAAATTTACATAGATTTAGGATGAGTCTTTACTTATAAGAGAAACACATGCAACATACAACATTCGAGGCATGGTTACATTTTGTCATTTTTTTTTTTTTTTTTTTTTGGAGCCAGGATTGCGTTCTGTAGCCAAAGTTCTAAGCATGTCATTGTGAGACAGTGTTATCAACTACTAAGTTTACACACTCAATAACCTCACAACTGAGCGACAAAGTAATCGCTGAAAAAACTGTAATGTTTTTCAGTTTATGATGCTATGTTGAGCCACATTTATGGCTATTCTTGGCCTTATTTGGGCACTGAAACACAGGTTAGATGTGCTTGGAACCTGACATCTTCCTATCTCAGCCTTCCAAATGATGAGATGAGGCATGCTTCACCATGCCAGGCCTTGTTGGCTGTTTTGAAGAGGCTATCCTATTGGTCTTGTTGCATACCAGAGATAATGCTGCATGTATGAATGGTAAAAGTCCCATCGGGTCCTTGAAACAGTTCAGACAGTTCAAGTTCCATTCTGTATAGGTTTCAGTGAGTTCTGGATCTGTACTGATGTGTCAGGGGCAAAGTCATATCTATTTGCACAGAAACCTCAAAGCTTTATTGTAAAGGAGATGACTGGAGCAGATTGGTGTAGATGTATATTGTGTATCCCCTTGGCAAAGGAGGATGGTGCTTTGGAATATAATAAAAATACCTGCTCACACATTGAAGCTGCCTCCCCCTAAGCATTTGTTGAAATGCTGTAGATTTTGGGGTGGCACTGAGCCTTTATAGCAAGGACTCTGAGTGGCCAAGTTGTAGGAGCACTGTCCATGGTACTGAATCAGTATTCGCCCTCACCACCTCAGTTTTCCTTCAAAGTTTCATTTCAGTGAGAATAGGTTTTGGAATTATATTAAAAATAATTTCAGAAATCATATTATTAAAGAAAAATGGACAGGATATCTTATTGAACTTGAATGAGAGATGCCTTTAAAACAAATCATATCACTCTTTTGAAAAAATATACTTCTTTTTCTTTTTCTCTCTAGGTGGGGAGTTTTCTGGCTATGGACATCAAGTAATGAACACTGAAATTGTTTAAATAAGTGTCTGTTTTCTTAATAGCTGCCATTAAACAAAAGAACCCTTGATTGCAATATGTACAGGTATCTGTTTGCAGGGCAGCTTGTCCCTAAACAGTGCCACTTGTAACACCCTCACACTTCTCAGCCTTCCCTGGAGAGAGGCTGAGAATGTGAGTTTTGGTGAATGTCAGGCATTCATTTCATGTTGGAGCAACATCTACCTTTATGTGTATCATTTTGAGGAATGTAAATCATTTCAGAGAAAGTTTTTATTTTCTTGTGGGTAATTTGTTGGTTACTTAAATTGTTTCATAGGTTCGCAATAAAAATGATATGTGTCACTTGTATAAATTCTTTCACATGGCAGGAAGTTGTATATCAAGCTGAGTGGATAGTTTTGGTTTTTGGAATAACTACCATGAACTAGTAGTTGTCTGGCCTAAGTTTCTTATGGCATTTCTTTTGTGGAGGAAACTAAGGGATGCCTCCTCTTCCTTCATCCAGGTTTCAGGAATTCTCTGATATTTTAAACAAGGACTGATGAATCCTGTGTTATGATCTTAGAGGTCCCTGGGGGTGTGAAACCGAGTTCGTGTCCAAAAGGGCTACCATTTGTACTGAGGAAGTGCATGTTAACAGATGGCTGTAAGTGGCTACACTGTGATGAGGTTGGGATGCACGGACTGCTGAGTGTGTTGAGGAAGAGCAAGCTGGGAGCATCAGAAAGCTTCAGAGAGGAAGGAGCCTTTGGGTTAAGCCCTAAAGGATGAGTTGTAAATGTCTGGGCACAGATAGAATACGTTGATTAGAAAAAGATGAGAAGGTTAGTGTAACTGGAAAACAGAGTGGATGTGGAAGTGTTCATGTATGGCTGTTACCAAGGAGTTGGGACTCCGTTGGGATGTGGGGAGTGAGTTGGAGAGGGGTTGTGTGTTGAGTAGAATGATGGCTTCCTGACACTATGCCCTCATCCCCAGAGCCTGTGATGTATTACGTTGCTTGGCAGGGGAATTAGGTAGCAGATAGAATAAGGTTGCTCATCAATTGGTTTTAAAATAGGGAGGTGATCCTGGTTGTCTGGGCAGGCTCACAATGATCACAGACATCCTTAAAGGCGTAAGAGGGAGACAGAAGAATCTGTGTCAGAGTGATGTGAGGTGAGGGTTTTAGATGCCATTGTTAGCTTTAAAGACAGAACAGGACATGCCAAAAAAGGCAAGAGAAGAGTCTCAGAAAGGGGCTCAGCTCTTGATTTTAGTGCAGTGGGACCCATATCTGTCTGCTGACCTCAAACTGTTGGATAGCAAAGGGCAGTGTTTTAAGCTAATATGTTTGTGGGAATCCATGGTAGCAGCATTAGGAAACTGATGTGGCTTGAGCCTTGGCTTTAAGCTGTCTCAGCGAGGATGGTTCAGGAGGGAGTCACACAGTCACACACAGGCTTTAGATGAGGTAATCTCTACTGTTTGGGAGTTTGCTCCAAGTAAACACGATTTTGATACATTCCCAGACAAGACAGGTATCTGATGCAATCTTATCTGACCCGAATTCCACTTTCTGTCTGTCCTTAGCCCTTTGCTCGGTTTCTGCTTCTGCTGGTGCCATGCTTCACTGGCTCTGCTCTGTGCTGGGCACCCAGGGAGTGTATCCTGTGTAGGACACTGAGACTGTGGGTCACAGCCTCCCTGTTGTTGTTAATTACTTTCTAAAAACT